ATTAAAATCTACGTCGTGCGTCATCACCACAAATAAACAATATTTAGCTGATAAAAGCAATGAACCTCCACTAATTTAAGGGTACAATTAACCCAATGAAGGGCTTTGACGTGAATAAGAACCTGTACATTAAGGTTCCATATTTAGTCAGAAAACATATCAAGAGAGTGGCAGATAACTACGAAACTCTTACCAAGTTACAAACATTAAGGGAGATCAGGAAAATCAAAAAAGCAGTTTCACCCATTTCTTTTTTTCACCAGTTAATATATTAAACTTATAATCAAAAAATCTGTTCACTGGTCACAATTTATGCTTTTTTCAAGTTTCTAGAAATGCGTCAACAACGAATTTGATAAAAGAAAATAACCCTGGAAATGCAAAATTACGCCACAAGTCTACAGAGGAAATTGTCACAAGAACTCAGCAACAGTTGTTAAATAAACACAAGACATAACCAATATGTTGCAGGGTTGCTATTACATAGTTGCATGCCAATTTCGCTTGCGTCTAGTCGCCTATGGGGAGCAGTTAAGCAGGCCACAACTCCATGGTATTTGAGCACCTGCAGTGCATTTGATGCAGGGCTGAATCTTTGAGTTGAGCTGCACAAACACGTGTTCAAGTATTAGCTAAATCTACTACCATCCTTAGGCAAATTAACACAACAAAGTTAATCCCGATGCTCCGGGTAACTACCACATAGTAGCTTTCCACCTAAGATGATAATTATAAGATACCGAATTCAATTTTGGATACTGAATACTGAATTAACTCGGCGTCGCCAGTGTACTTCTAGTCGCCTATTTGGGACCATTTAAGCAGCAAGTGCCTTCATGTTATTTCAGCGCCTGCAGTGCATCACTGAGTTGGAATGAACAAGGGCGGGTTCAAGCACCAAATAAATCAGCCATTATCCGTAAGAAAACATACAAAAAACAACACTGTTAAATAAGTCGTTCGATCGGACACGGTGAAATAAGTAATAAGTGACTTACCACTGGCGGGAGACTGAGGAGAGCTGGCGAACGAATTTTGGCGGCTGAGACTCGGCGTTTTGCCAAGAAGCGCGGAATTGAGGTTCTCGGCTACAGTAATGGAGTTTTCGCGGCGGCGTTCCTGCAAGTTGTCGCTTCCGCAGCCATGCGAAGCCATCGAATCATTCATGTCGGTCTTCCTCTTCTGCGGCTCGGTCTGTGAACGTTTCTCGTCGAGCATTTCATAGACGATGGTGATGAATTGGTTCTCGAAGTTAAGTACGAACCAATGTAGCGCCACCACCAACTCTTTGCGGGCCATCGATGAACCATCGTTGAGCACCACCGAGATAAGTGTCATTGCTATGGAGTGTACCAGGTTGACCGCCTGCTCGTCAGTCTGCTTTGCACCGTTTCGAACCATGCAGCCGAGTGCGAAGACGACGCTCGCACGAACGAAGCAGTTGCTGTCTTTCAGCATCTCGTACAGTTTTTCGTGCACTGCACATCTTACCCCCTGCCACCTATAAACAACATCAACGTTAACCTCATTATAAACATTTCGACACAGTAACACAACACGCATCGAACAAACAAGTAATTAACTTGATGTTCATCACCTTCTTGTATAGCATGATTACTAACCACTTTCAGTTATCGAACAACTAATAGTAAACAGACAGGTATTATTCAGTATACGTATTAAAAACTATTTAACTCGCCGCCGCCAGGATGAGAAAGGAAGAGGATTGAAGACCATGGCGATATCTCCCGCAAAACACCCACCTGCCCCTCATGGTATTTTCCTCATCGATCATTAGACAGGCTTGGTCATCTCCCGGGATACCAAGAGCGATGTCGGCTGATGGCATACTGCGAAATGTCAGCGATCAGATTCTGATTCACACCTTTTAGCAACCGGGGATGTGGCAGCACGACGACGAAGATACCAATCAGCAACGGACTTGCTACCCATTCTGAACCGAGGAGGATGACGGCGTGATGCCATTACAGCACGTCAGAAAAGGTTCCAAGAGAACGACACCGCCAGTGAGAGCTTACAGTCAGAAACTGGAATATATCCTCACTCAGTAAGAAAGAGCAAGAGTTAGCTGAAGAAGCCATAAGGTACCAACTCGCCATAATTGGACTTTCGTAAATGAAGCGCCAAAACTCTGGAGTTCTCGACGTCTGCGAGTTGAAGTTATTCTACTCAGGTGTCGATATCACGACGCGCGTTCAGGCCGGCGTTGGTGTTCTGCCAGAACCCAACCTGGCTGATAGAATCATTAAATGGAAGTCTGTCAGCGGAAAGGTGGAAATCCTATGACAAAAACTACATCAGGCTAAAGCGTTGACCTTGTTACAGTTCTATGCTCGAAATTCAGACGGAGAATATGACTCCTTCGTTGAGGATGTAGAGTGTGCTCCAACGAAGTGCCGACTACGCTGTGAGTAATGGAGTAAAATGCGACGATCCGGTGGCAGACGCAAGCAGATTATCAAATCGGAAACACTACCTTCAATGGACAGGAGAGCGAAATTTGCAAACAACATCGCACGACGATTTGAAAAGATCCCGCTGATGACCACCGATGTGGAAACCGAGTGGCAGCGCTTTAGGAGTGGCACACTCGAGGTTGCCGCCGAATGCTGCGGATTTGAACGGGTTGGCCTGCCACCTGAAGGTCAGACAAGAACTTCCAAGTGGACATGACAGGTACAACTGGCAGATAACGAGAAGGCAGCATTCAAGAAACGGATTGGAAGCAAAGAGCTTGCAACTCGAAGGGCTTGTAGTACCAAGAAGTGTGAAAGGTAGCAACAAAAGCAGTCGCCAAAGCGAAACCTAATTTCTCAAAAAAGTTCGAAGCAATGGGGTTCGATAGTAAACGTTGGAGTAAACATAATAACTGCTACTGTTGCAAGGAAAGACTACGATGAAAGGCAGAAAGCGCCGACCAACAAAGCACTGGTAAAGAATAACGAAAAAGTGGGCCGTGTTCCTTAATAGATCCATGTGTTCTATTCTAATCTGTCGCACACACACTAATGATTGTTACATTTTGTTCAGAGGATTGACGACTTGAACGTGTGCATTTTCGCGATGTTCAGTCTAGATTTTCAAGCTTTTGACTAT